TTTCTTGTGATGGCTTTATCTTGTTTTGGTATCATGGTGTCTGTGTTCTTTCGATATGACCTCTATTATGTGACCTTTATTTTGCTTTTTGGCATAAGATGTACCACGTTTGCTTGTACATTTCTTATCTCAAATCTGAAATCTGCTATTCCAAGGAACCCATTCAATTTAGTAAAAAGAACAATCTGGGTGTTAGGGTACTCATTGTTGCTGTGTTGTCATTGTTTCTGTCTCCTGTGTGGTGAGTATGCTCTTGCTTCTGGAACATACTCATAAAGTGAGCACCTCCCCCTTTTGTGTGTGTGCAAAAACATAAATGTTTAATGAAATAACAAAGTCAGAAGATTCCATACAAAATTTATAAACTGGTAAAACTCAGTAGTCTTTTATTTCAGAATGAAAACAAGAACTAAATAACACTAATTAAAAATGGTAATTTCCTCTCAGTCGAAACACAGGAGAATGCAGTTTGATGACTGCACTTACAAAGCTTCTGTGTATCTTACTATCAGTTCTAGAATATACACATGTGATTGAACCTTTTCTTATATGCATACAGTATTTCACATTGCTTATTTCTGAAATTCAAAGGCAGTTGTCTATAATACAAAGCAGTGTTAAGCATTTGTCCTACAATTTATAAATAATCCTTAAATAATTTCTGATCTTTTGCAAAGTTGCTAAGAACTACCTTCTAACCAGGGTTATTGAAATCCTTCTACTGTTTGTAGTGCTGAGCCAATTCAGTATCTACATTGATAAATGAATTTTGACCATTACACGATATACCAAATTAATTGCATATATATATATATATTTTAAATGTGCACATAAAACAATAAAGCTTTTAGAAAAAATGATAGAGGAACATCATCATGATCTTGAATTAGAGAAAATTTTCTTATTCAATATACAAAAAGCCTGGACATAAAAGAACTTAAAGAAAAAATTGTTTGGACACCTTTAAAATTAACTTTCTTTATCAAAAACACCTGAAATAAATTTTGGTATTTTTGCACAGAACAAGAACATACAGTTACAAGGACTACAGGACTATAATTAAACCTTCTAACATAAAGGTATCTCACAGATAAAACACTGAGTGAAAAAAATAACCACTCAAAATTATACTCTCTATAATTTCATTTAGCATTCACTATGCTCTGTAAGGCACTTGACTGCTAACCAGAAGGCTAGGATAGTGAAAGACTGAGATAGGGAACGAGTCTTTTTGATAGCTGTTTAAGATAAATTCATAAAAGATAGACATATCCCATACTTTATATAGGAGCTCTGGTAGCGTAGTGCCTAAGGCATTTGACTGCTGACCAGAAGCTGGCGGTTCAAACCCACCAGCCACTCCTTGGAAGGAAGGTTGGGCAATCTATTCCCATAGTGATACCGCTTCAGAAACCCAAGGGGGGGTCTCTATGAGTTGAATCCGACTCGACAGCAGTGAGTTTGGGTTTTTTTTTTTAGTATACTTTATATAGTACCACTCCTGTAAATGGTGCTATCCATTATGATTTTGTGTAATTACAAAAACATAACTTGCTGTGTCACTTTTACCCAATTCCAGATAGGATTTCACTTGAATGAAACTGATAAAATTATATCATCCTTACTGGCAGTTTTCAGAAAAGTGGACAGGGATGTAAATTTGTGTAATACTTGAAAATATCCAAATATATATGCAAGCAATCTGCTTAATAACAAATTCTTACAACAACTGAGACTATAAAGATACTACTAGCTGAAGGCATTAACTTGATCTTTTCAGAAAAGATGAACAAAGTAAAGTAATTCGGGTGCCAAAAGTTAAATGTATCTGTTCACTGTCAGTGCTTTGCAACTGTTACCTGTCTACATGGGAGCTTATTTAAGTAGGAGACACTAACATTCAGTGGTCTGTTAATAACTCAGATTTGTCATTCTATAGTTTTGATTCTAATGTTCTCTTGGGTCTTACATCACACAAATTGGTTTTATGTAGGCATCAATAAGTGGCCATGTCCACCCTCTACAAGCTACCTCCACCTCTACATCTGAAAAGGTTGTCATAAAGGTTATTTCTTTGTAAACAGCAACCTGACATAACTCAAGTGCAGTTGACTGGTTGCTTACCTAGTTGGGAGATGGTATATATTTTTTGTTGTTGTTGCTAATAATAGATCTCTTTATCAACTTTTTTTTTTTTTGCTTCTGAATTAAAATGAACATATTTATTTAAATTATTCTGATTTGAGGACCGCCCTATGTAAATGGAAGTGATTGATTAAGTACTACATTACTCTCTGTGGTGGTTATGTTTGTGTGTCAACTTGGCTAGGCCAAGTTAAGTGGCTAGGTTGAGTGGCTGGGCAGCTGGTGATAGTTATTCCCCATGATGAGACTGGCAATCAACTCCATGGTGGAATCTACCAAAAGCAGCTGAGGAGCTGCATTTGGGATGTGGTCTGCTTCCTGTATATAAGGAGAAGCCTTGGGAATGGTTTCTAGTTTATGACATGCTTAAACCCTACATGTAGTCATGTCATTGCTCAGCAGCCTGCCATGCTCTGCCAACCTGGGACTTGCAATGGACCTGAATTACTGGCCTGCCGTGTGGTTTGGTAACATTGGAACTTGCCTTTTTACTTGTCAACTTTGGGCTTGTCAGCCTCAGCAGCTAGTAGCTGTTTGAGTGAAGAAACGCCTCTAGCTCCAGAGGGCTGGGAGCAAGAAGCAGAGCTGGACCCCAAGGTTGAGGGGCTTTCACCCAGTCCCTAGAGCCTGACACTTGAACTTGGACTTAAAGCCTCCTAACTGTAAGAGAATAAGCTCCTATTTGTTAAGGCCATCCCGTTTGTGGTATATTCCTGTCAGAGTGACACTAGGTAACCACAACAGAATTTGGTACTGAGAGTCGGGTGGTGCTCTGACAGATACCTAAAATGTGGAAACAAGAGTAAAATGTGTCCTTGACCCGAGACCCTGGCAGAGAGACCCTGGCATATGGCATGACAGACGGCAGGAGCAGAGCAAGAGAGTGGCATGAGAGATGGCAGGAGAAGAGCCCAGAGACTGGCATGAGAGATGGCAGGAGCAGAGCTGAGAGAACCAGCATGAGGTAGCAACAGCTTTACCAGCCCATGGAGGAGAAAGCTTGATGCCTTTGGTTAGGCAGCTTCCTGGTGGAGTGGGTTTCCATCACGCATTAATTGGTAGAATAGACTGGCTTGAAATGGAGTAGCAGGTTGGCCAGTCCACGGATCAAGAAAGCTAAATGTCCTTTGAGGCAAGAAGATTTCCAGCAGAGTGGGTTGCCTTCGGCATTAATCAGCAGAAGCAGAGAGACCAAGGAAATAGAAGCAGAGCTGCCTCAGCCTGAAAGGATAGGACTATGGCCTTTGGGGGTGGAACGATCACAGCCCCCTGGGTTTCAAAGAGTTAGACCTTCACCAACTTGGTTCTGGAATGTGGGACTGCTTGTTCATGTGAGCTAGTGGGATGGAGCCATAGCCGCTGCCCACAAGTGAGGGGACAGGGCTGCAATGGCCAAGAAGAAGAGGAATGGGGCCCGCCAGGCCAAGGGGGTGAAGTTGTCACTTAGAGCAACTAGGGGACTGGAGCCACCCAGTGGAGGAAATCTGTACAGATGCTAAGTTGACAAGGGGTGGAATTGTAGTAGTTGTGTTTGTGTATCAACTTGTCTGGGCCTGGTTGAGTGGCTGGGCATCTGGTGGTAGTTATTCCCCTTGATGATACTGGCAGTCAACTCCATGGTAGGATCTACCACAAACAGCTGAGTAGCTGCCTTTGGGATATGGTCTGCTTCCTGTATATAAGGAGAAATCTTGGGAATGGTGTCTAGCTTATGGCACCTTGAACCCTGCATGTAGCTGTGTCGTTGTTCAGCAGCCTGCCATGCTCTGCCAACCTTGGGACTTACAATGGACTTGAATTAATGGCCTGCCATGTGATTTGGGAATAATGGGACTGTGCGTTTTTACTTGTCAATCTTGGGCTTGGCAGCCTCAGCAGCCAGCAGCCGTCTGAGTGAAGAAAAGCCTCTAGCTTTAGTGGGCTGGAAGCAGAAGGCAGAGCTGGACCCCAAGGCTGACGGGCTTTCACCCAGCTTCTAGAGCCTGGCACTTTGAACTTGGACTTAAAGCCTCCAAATTTTAAGAATAAACTCCTGTTTTTTAAGGCCATCTCATTTGTGGTATATTCTTGTCAGAGCAGCACGAGGTAATCAGAACACTCTCTTAGTTTCTTTTCCCCATATTTTGGCATTATGTCTTTTTTCTCTTGGAATTTTTGTTTTTATTTTCAGATTCGTTTCTATCAAGTCTTTTTCTCAGGTTTTTTTTTTTAAAAAAAAACATTCTACGTTTTTCTATTTCGTCTTCCCCCCTCTTCTTCCTGCCTTCTTTTAAAAACTGTCTACCTGGATTTAGAAGAAGAAACGGTTTGAATTTTAGCTGTTTCCCCCCCACCCAAAAAAAAATAAATTCTCTTTAATATTAAAAGAAGAAAATCTTGGTTTAGAAGGAAGAAATATTATTTGTGCACTGAATCTGTTATTAATCAAGTTGATATCTTATTTTCTAAAATCTTCTGTACGTACTTACTATGACACTGTTCCTTATATTTTTATTTGTGTTATTCTTTCCATGGATATTTCTGGATTATTTTCAAAGAGCTTCCTTAGAAAGGGATTGACTATGACAGAGTGTGATGACTTGAACTGATGACTTATATGCCCTTACATGTATCAAAAAGAAAATGAAGCTCCTTCTTACCTAAAATGAAAAGAAATACATAGTGAAGGTGTCATCAGAGATCTATTTCATTATCTATAAATATATTTTTCATTTGCATGTCTGATCCAGAAAAGTATAGAATTGATGATATCTTCCTGTATTATTTTCATCTATGTAGACTCTGGCCCATTGCCTGGCTTCTCTGACTTTAATTAATGAAGATGTTCTCTTTTTTGCTTTCTGTATTTATCATAGGTGGAGGAGTTATTGATGGCCATGGAGAAAGTAAAGCAGGAACTAGAGTCCATGAAAGCAAAACTGTCATCCACCCAACAATCACTGGCAGAAAAGGAAACTCATTTGACCAATCTTCGGGCAGAGAGGAGAAAGCATTTAGAGGAAGTTCTGGAGATGAAGTAAGTGTTTATAATCTTATTCTTCAGGCATATGCTTAGTAGAAATACTTTTCTTCATTGCTCTTTTCTTCTGCTTTTGTTTACACACTAAGCCTTTTTAAAAAAAAACAATTTATTGTAATTTGGGTGAAAGTTTGCAGAGCAAATTCTTTTAGCCTAATCTTTATAGGAGGAGCGCTGGTGACATAGTGCCTAAGGCATTTGACTGCTACCCAGAAGGTTGGAGGTTCAAACTCACCAGCCACTCCTTGGAAAGAAGATTGGGCAATCTACTTCCATGGTGATACTACCTTGGAAATGCAAGGAGGGGTCACTATGAGTTGCAATTGACTTGATGGCAGTGAGGTGTTTTTTTTGTTTTGTTTTGTTTTTTTGGTTAATTTTGATAGTAACTTGTTTATTTCACTCTCTAAAACAAATATGATCAAATTGGAACAAATGATGGCCAAATTGAATTACTTTTGCCTCCCCTTAAGTGAATTTTCAAGTCCTGTAAAGTATATATACCTTTGTCCAAGTGTCTCGCTCAGATTTTTTAAATCTTGTAGGAAGTTCAGGCAAATTGGTGAGCTCACTGGGTGAGAAGACTGTTGGTTCTAAGGTCATATGATGACTAGGCAATTTTTTGAAACAAATTTTTATTTTAAAAATTTCTGAATGTACACAAAAGTTGAGAGGATTGTATAATGAGCCCCCATATGCCTATCTTCCAGATTCAGAAAACAACCTTCTGTTCTACTTTCCAGCCAATTTTTACATGATTTCTATTTTTAGGAAAACCTTGCTGTGCTTCATTTTCCTATTTGCCTTATCTTAGGATCATAATCTGTTCAGAAGCATGTATGCATCTGACAGTGCTTCTAGATGCTTCTTTTTCTTTTCTATGACTTTTTGTGAAATTCTGATTTTCTTCTCTTTAGAACTATGTATGTCTTATTTGAAAATTTATTATACTGTCTTTTTCAAAGTCCAGCACTCATGCTTAACTAAAGGCTTTATTTCATTTTACTGAAGCCAAATCTATCCTGGCATTCCTTGGTTACCTTTTTTGTACCTTAAAAGTTTTTTGCATTTTTGTTGTCCTCTCTTTTGTTTCAGAGGAGGTATCCTTTCTCCTTCATAAAGCACAGATTGGCATCTCTGTCATAGATTCTAGCCTACTCCCCTCCTCTGCAATCTTTCTTTGTCAGTTTTCTCTCATGTCATCAATTATTGCCTCTCCATTAATTCCTTCTCTGCATAAATACGTAGTCTCCCTATCGTAAAATAAACTTTTCTCACCCCAGCTAGCTTTGGAAGGTAACACTATCTCTTCTTTTTCTGCTCCTTGGAGAAATACTGAATACCAGAATTAAAGAGCAGCAGAGGATCCTCCCATGATAATTAGCATGATCCCTTAGCATGAAATTTTCGTGTGACATGATTATTGTGAAATTGTGGCAGGAACGCAAGAGTTGAAGGAGGAAGTACACGTCTGTCACATCTTCTTACGGCTTATTAGGGCAGAGTGAAAGCTTTAAGAAAGTCTGAACTTATAGAAAAGTATTATGAATTATTTGCTCTTTGAAGTGATTAATAAATGGAGCCAGAAATAGCTTTATATACTGGGAGAATAGGGAGAGTTGGGGTTTTGAGTATCATCATGAGAAAAAAGCTTGTGAATATGTTTTTGAGGAGCAAACTAGTAAAAAAAGGTGTAAGACAAGGTCTTTTAATCACTGAAGGGAAAAGTCAAAGTTTGATTTTTTTGGAGGAAGAGTGGTAGAGTTAATTCTTGGATATTAGAGAGTAAAATCACTGGATTTGAAGAGGTCTCAGAACCCTTCCTAGAAAAAGGTTGGAGGTGAAGTTGAGAAGAAAATACATCAAGTTCCAAAGTCATGAAGAAAAATGGAAGAAGGATGTGATATTTGTAAGCAGAAATAGACCTTCTTAAAGCATCAGTGTATAACGTTTGTTTTTGTTTTTGTTTTCATTATCAGTATCTTGACTTTATGTGTTGGATCTTCCCCGTTCAGTTTAAATAGCTATTTATCACAAAATAATGGCATATATTATAGGAGTTTTCCTTTATTGTTAAGACTTTGAGAAAATACCATAGAATTTTTTTTCTTTTCTTTTTAAATTTTTATTGTGATTTGGGTGAAAGTTTACAGAGGAAATTTATTTTCCATACAGCCATTCATTTACATTTTGTTTCATAACATTGACTGCAAGCCCCACAATGTAACAGCTCTCTTTGTACTTTATCCCTGCAGTTACCTCTTCTCTGTGTCTTTTCCTATGCATTCCTGCCCCCTGAGCGATCTCCCTATACCAATACTGCCCTTCTGGTCTCTCATGATTGATCATTCTAAGGAGTGTATCTCCCTGGTGTAAATGTGCACCCTATATGCCTGTCTGTTGTTTTGCTGAAAGCCACAGGAGTGAGTTCGCTTCTAGGCCTGAAGGGTAACTAGGGAGCATAATCTCGGGGTCTCACCAGGTTCTATCAGACCAGTAAAGCTGGTGTTTTTATGATTTTGAATGATTTTGAGTTTCATTTCACATTGCACTGCACATTTCACATCCCACTCTGCACTGATCCCTTTCTGAGTGGTTGACAGTGATAGCTGGGCACTGTCAGTTCCTCTGGTCTTATGGTCATATAGGCTAAGGTTTACAGTCCACTAGTCCCTTGAACTAATTGTTTGTGTGCATCTTTGGTTTTCTTCATTCTTTGTTCTGGACAAGGAGAGACTAATTGTTGCATTTAGATGACCACTTGCAAGCTTTTAAGACCCCAGTCACTACTCACCAAAGTAGGGAGATATCATAGAATTTTTTAAGAATGCTTAACTTCAAACTATGAAATGAAAATTACATGTAACTTTTATGTTCCACATTACTAAACTGTATTATGAACTTCCCTTATAACGCAGGTTGGAGATTATGTTTCTAAAACATACAGTTATTAGCAAAACTGTTATTGGTAAAATCAAAAAGATACAGTAAGGAATGGGAGAAATAATTAAAGTATATATAGAAATGCCTAAGGCATTTGACTGCTAACCAGAAGGCTGGTGGTTCAAACCCACCAGCCACTCCTTGGATAGAAGACTGAGTCATCTACTTCCATAGAGATATTGCCTTGGAAACCCGAGGAGGGGTTGCTGGTGGTTAATGTATTTGGCTGCTGATCAAAAGGTTGATGGTTCAAAGTCACCAGCTGCTTCTCAGGAGAAAGATGAGACGGTCTATGTCCATAAAGATTTGTAGCCTCAGAAACTCTATGGGGCACTTCTGCTTTGTCCTATAGGAATGCTATGAGTTAGAATTGACTTGATGGTAGTGTGTTTTATAGAAATTATAAATGTTGCAGAAATTTTAAAAACAAGCATTAAATAAAAGTTCTAGAAACAAAGTGTTAAAGCCTGGTTCTGTCAGATGACTTATCTCTTAAATCATCTTCATTTGTTTAGTGTACATTACTGTGACATCATGATGTTCTTAGCCAGATTTCCCAAAAATTTTATGTCATACAGATTGTGCCATCTTAAAGTTTTTAAAGCAGTCCTTGCTTTAATTTGCACTTGAATTTCCCCCTTGTGTCATCTTTCATTTTCATATCCTAGTAAAATGTTTGTTTAATGCCTTGCCTTTTAATAAATTATCTAATGCTTTATAGTACTAATCCTCTATCCACATATGCTGTTGAGAGAATGTTGATTCTTAACAAATCTCTTTTTGCATTGTTCTGCAGACCAACCCACATGGCATTATCAGGGAGTGGGGGGCAATAATTTCTATCCTGTTCTTTCCATTTAGAACAGTAAATGGAAATCCCTGTGGTTTTTTTTTAATGTGTATTTTTAAACTCTGCCATACATATACAAAATTGTGATTGGTGAAACCCAGATAAAAACTAAGCATTTATCCTAGTTATAATTATATACAAAACACAATAAATGACATATTGTGGATGTTGTTGTTGTTATATGCCATCAAGTCGGACCCGACTCATAGCGACCCCTCCTTGGGTTTCCGAGGCAGTATCACCATGGAAGTAGATTGCCTCATCTTCCTTCTGAGGAGTGGCTGGTGGGTTTGAACTGCCAGCCTTCTGGTTAGCAGTCAGGTACCTTAGGCACTACGCTACCAGAGCTCCCATATTGTGGATACTGATATAGTACACTTTGAATTTCTTTTAAGTAACTGACCAAGGGAAGAGTTTTTCTTCTGCTTTGTTCTGGGCTCTTCCTCTTTCCATATACTGAACAAGTTCTGCTAATTATCTCGTCTGGGCTCGAGTTCAAGTCTCAGTTTCTACAACTTTCCTCAGAATTTATTTATTCTGTTGTCAATTTGCAAGTTGGTTTGTTCCCTACAAGTAGTTCTGTATAATATCTGCCTCTAATTATTTACTGTATGTGGTAAGAACATACTTCCTGGAACAGAAGAGCCTGAATCTGAATTCTGACTCTGCCAGTTGTTAGCTCTGTGACTTGAGCAAGTTGCTTAACCTCTCCATGCGTCATTCTCTTCATCTGTAAAATGATGATAATTGTCTTGACTTACAGTGTTTTTGTGAGAATTAAATAAAGAAATGAGTTAATACATAGAATTGGGAGCAGTGCCTGTCAGAGTAAGCACTTAATCACTGAGTATTATTAGCTTGCTTTAAGTATTTCTTGGTGATGATTTGTAGAAAAACAAATTTAAGTAAAATTTAAGAGAATTAAGATACTGGTGGACCTGTGGCCATGGCCGATACTGTATAGTCATGGCAGGACCTGCTGTTGTTCAAAGGTTCAAATTGTTTAATCTCATCATTGAAGTAGTGTCTAGTATAAGGATAGAAATTAAAATGTAGAGGAATTAGGAGGATACAATGTACAAAGAGAATGATACATGCATGTGTGTGACTCTGAATCTGGAATAAGAAATAGTCTGCCCAAGCAAAAGGAAATTGGCCCATTTGTGTAGAAAAGAGGAAAACGCTACAAGAGTCTAGTCAAACA